TACGTGAGGTTGAGGACGGGGGGAGCAGCTTCTTGAGTAGGGGTATTCACTACCTTTAGGGTCGGAAAACGCCTGGAATGCTGCAGGTGGACAAGGGATAGGGTGTGTGGGAACAGTAGGGGTTGAGCCTGAGAAGGCGGCGACGGAAATGTGGTGCTATGGCTTCATTCAAGCTATCCTGCTTGGACGGGAGTTCTACCTTTGTCATTAACCGTCAAGCCCAAGCCAAGATTGGTTTGTGGCATGAGACTAAGGGTTCCCCAAGGACGTTAAATATCTCTCGCTCGAGGCCTTCGGGAGAGGGTTCGACTGCGTGTGGATACTTGTATGCCTTGCCTTCGGAAGATGCTTGGCGTTCGGCGAGTGATGCCTTCGTCCTGAGATTGGGAGCGCATATTTGTGCCTTCTACTTTTATATATGTGTGTTTCTTGTCATCGCCTACCATTCTCCATAGACACCAATGAAGTCGTTGTGATATGGCGTGGCGCTGGTGACGGCTCGGTTCCAAGCCCCTACGATTCGAATGTCGGAATCCAGACACTGGTTCCATTGGTAACCACGTGTTGCGAACGTGGTGTTCTATAGTCGGTTCTCTCTCCGAGAGTTTTCCACGCAAGGAGTACATGATACACCAGCCTTGCACACACAATGACTGTAGACTGCGAGGTCAGGCTCCCTTCTGAGATATGCACCGGTCTTGACAGCCGCAGGACTACGTGCCAGCATGAAAAACAACAGTCACAAGTGTTTGCAGCGGCCCATTTGTTCACCTGCTGAAGTAGAATGCAGCTGAGTTCATTAATATCTGGGAAGTAATCCATTTATTCTCACGCCATGGTTGTGACACGATCAGACGCGATGTCATATTTGTCGTATAAATGATCTCTGGCGTTGAAGTCAGTTGTGGTCACAATGATGAGTTTGCATGCGTGATCACATTGGGCTTTTCTTTCCGGCCTTTCGTAAACATGTTGAGTTACATGCTGGTCCAAGTAGATATTTATCAACCAGAACGCGGAACATTTATCTTTATTGTGCCAATAATCGTTGAGAGACGAACAGAGACGATAGTCATGCAAGTGTTGCGATTTTGTAGGCTAGAATGCGAGGGCAGCTAACACTCTATGAACACTTAGTGGCATCAAAAGCTACTGCCGGCTCAGTGAAGTTTCAAGGAAGCAGATCACATTGCTGTGTAAAGGGAAGCCAATAGGCATGGGCTCTAATATACCGCACCTTCCAGTACTTAGTATTCTGCAATGTAGGAAAAGGAAAGCAAAAGGGGTCCTACTCTTAACACCCTTTTTATGTATAAGCTGTTACCGGTAGCAATCGCAGGTGTTGGTCGGCAAACAATAGACGAAGGCAGCGAATGGCGTGAAATCGATCTGCAATCTTCGAGAGGGCGGCCTTCAAGCTCGACGGCCCGTGAAGAGACCCCTCAAGTCTGTGGATGAGATGGAATTATTTCTCTGCTTCGTCTCTGGACTGAACCCTAGCAATAGTCTATTGTGAATAGTTTCAAAGTGCCACCGGATGGAGATGACGCGTAGAGATAGTCATGGTTGGAACAGCTCAAGGCCTTTGATCCACTCTGCTGCGCGTCATGGGGATGGAGACTTCTAAGAAGGAGAGGTACTAGCACGCAGTGTCTTTATGTCTACATCCCAACAGAGCTAAGCGCTAATGGGTTGGCTTAGATGGAAAGGGGCACTTGATCTGGCAAGATATAATTCTTTATCCGATTGGCGTCATGGATAGGAGGTCTTATTGTTGTGTAGATTTAATGTGAATAAACAAATATTTGATACAAAGGTAGGCCGTCGTGAAGGGACATATCATCGGCAATCCGGAATTTGGATGCACGACCTCTTCCTTGCTAGAACATACCCCACAATCGTGAGAATGGAGCCCGTTCCATCAGCGAGTCTTTAGTTAAGAACAGGCACCTACTATAGCACTAGACTGTCACCTGCAGCCTATTGGTTTCTGCGTATACAAGCTGGTACACTTGAAGAACTTCCACGAAGGACAGCGACACGGGAGGCTTGTAGACGTTCGTAATCGGGGAGCATGCATCTGGAAGAAAGAGGCACTTCCAGAGTGTGAAGAATATTGCTACATCACTACCCCCACTCCTATGTTTGTTCATCTTGTTGTGTCTGAAACGCTGGTGAGTCAAGTTTGTTGTTTATAAACCACCCACTGGGATCGCGTGGAAGAACCTCCGGAAATCTATCATGAGCCGGGAGTGAATTCCTCATGGTGACAAATCTTTGATAAAGTATAAATCATGACTTTAAAGCAGCTACGAAGCCCAAAAGATCGTCCGGTCCTGCTCGGTATCCATCGAATCGAGAGTTTTCTGTCGTTGGGAGACTCCAAAATGCAAGACGCGACTTTGCGATGACGAAAAATGACAATGAATCTAGAGACCCTAGTGACGGACTTACTGTTGCAACTATTGTGTATTCTGGAGAGAATAATTGCAGGAAGATGAAAGAAAATGTATTAGACTCGACGGCTGTGGAAATCACTGGGATACAGCGGCTTCTAGAGAACAGTCGAGGTGTGGGAAAAGAGATGCTAGGGTGTCTTACATTGTAAACCAGACGATAAATTCAAGATTCCACCAAGACGAACGAATGTTCCGGTTTGGAGCTATTGGCCCTCGCGGAAAAGCCACTCCTTATAACACAAGCACGTATCGTCGAGGACATGAAAGGCGTTCCTAAGAAAGGCAGTGAAAATTACCGTTGACGACACAGTATATATGTCCCAAACGGGGACGAGCAGTAAATCCGCGAAAAGAAATAAATCCGACAATCTTGGCGCGGGGAGGCAATGCTTTGGTTGGTTTATCTGTGTGCATCCAAGGGGTCACCACCAACAATGAGTTGGGCTGCGATCTGTCTAGGTGGGTGTGGACGTTTTGCCTTTCTAACATAGCGGTGCCGTAGAACGGAACAACCGAAGACACTGAAGAGGGTGAAGAGCAACAGAGAAGTCTCATATCATTCGGGGGAACGATCGGTCATAAATGGCCAACATTTCACTTTCAGGGCTTATCTAGTTTCGCCGGCGGCTGGAGGCCGTTGGGACAGGGTGATCACAAGCCCCATACGATCTCATAATCGCATAATACTATAGATGCCCTTGAGACGAAAATCGAAGATGCAATGGCACTGGCATTGAGCATATCTCTTAACCCATATTACAAAATGACAATGTTGAATTTTCCAAAGGGCGTGCTTTTGACTGCTACCGCCGCAGATGTCGCCATATTTTGTAATGCCCAAAGGCGCATCATCCTTTGACAGCTCAAGTACCGTCGTTGTGCTGCCACAGCCGGCGTAATGGCACCTCGATTTACCACAGCAAAACAGCGTGAAGTAGGACAGCCATGCGTCCAGTGTTCTTCGAAGTCATGGACCAGAAGTTCGGTGTTTGATATTTCATTTGCTGGTTTAACGTCTGGGTTCATCGTCTTTCATGGCTCTCTGCAAGCATGAAAGATCCCTCGAGTTACAAAGCAGCAAGTGAGAAAATGACTGGCTGGGCCGCCAAGATCGTCGCCCACTTGTGGCACCGGAGGAGCCCAGGTTTGCCAAGTCAACAAAGCACTTGACGGTACGATGTCCCCCTTGCTTAAGACATCATGATCTTCTGATGGGTTGTGGCACAGTCACGAGCAAATGTTCGGCCTTTCTGATTCTTTCCAATGACATAATTGACACTGCCTGAAGAGTTTCCTGAAAGATAAAACCTGTAAATCCTCATTCGTCTCGGTCCAGCCAGACAAGCTCCCTTCGCAATTTTCCAGCACACTGTTCAAAATTTCCCTCTCATTCTAGCACCGATGATGTTGCCAAGATACTTCTTCATAACCTTGCTCTTCACGTACGGAGCCTTCGGCAAATGCCTCCGAGACGCGTACCTACCAGGCTCGTATAGCTGGCGGAATAGAAACGTCAACATAGATTCTGTGTGCGCAGAATTTGCAGGCAATTTCTCCCCGGACCAATCCAAGTCGAAGTGCGTTGAGGACAAAAGCGGCAGGAGATGGGACTTTGAATTGAAGGTTCGCTCACACCCGATGTGTCTATGTACTTTTGACTTAGCATCCATTGCCATCTATCGCGATGCAATGACACCATTGATGCCTTGATTATTTCCACCAAGAAGACCCGTTGCTGACCTTATCCCTCATCACAGTTCATTGGCACCGGTCAAAAAAGTCGTCACATCGGCGAAAAAGAGTGCATGGGCGGCATGGAGTCCGAAGCCATAAAGTGCCGCAACGGTGGACACACGAAATACACTAATTGGGAATACAAGTGAGTTTCAAGCTGAACATATTCGTGAGCAAAAGAAAGGCTTCTGACGGCATTTGGTAGGGTTGTGCCGGGGCAACGTTGGCCGGAGAAGGAGGTTGGCTGCAAGGGGTAACTGAGGTGGCAGCGCCCTGAGCTCTGTTTGGCTCAAGCAGAAGTCTGAAGAAAGATTTAACGGCCTGTACGCTGAATCAAATCATTTTATCCCATGTAACATCTGAAAGATTATTCCTTGATTCTTAGGAAAATGACACGCGGCATTCACTGAGGTTGGTGGCTATCAGTGCACTTCAAGCGGAGTTGGTTCGGGCTGCAGCAAGTGGGATCATTCCTGCAGCGCCTCGTGTTCGTTCCGCTGCTGCCTGAACGTCCCAGCTCACAAGAGACAGAAAAAGCATCGCTCAACGCCTTCGCACGGGCCATTTCTTAAGCGATGAGTGAGCGCCCTTGCCCGAAATAGTACCTACTTCGAAAAGGAGGACAAGTCTGTTGCACATGAGAAATCTGGCTTCACCACGACTGCCTGATAGATGTTGACACCGTAAGCACATGGAGTCTTCATATATGCTTGACTCCAGGTCCATTCGCAGATAAATACTTGTAGCCAGCAACGTTACTGCCAGATTTTAAACACCACCCACCTTTATTTTCAATTAGCGGTCATTATGAAGCCCAACCGCCACTCTGGTCGTGGTCTCGGCGTACTTGCGACGCTAATCGTTCTTTTTTCAACCATACACTCTGCCACCGCGGTAGAATGTTGGGGTGGCCTGTCAGAGTATCCTAACGTGTTTGTCATTGTGAGTCACTTTCAATGTTGAAGTTGGGAGATTTTGGCTCAACCTGAATCAACAGAATATCGGCCGCTCGCATTCGACTGTTGGAGCTGCGTGGCCTGGTCTCAGAAGGATACCGGACGGAAACACAAGTTTGTGTCATGCGATGGAGAACTCGGGAATGCAAGCGCTAATTCATTACCAGAGTGGACGTCCTTCCCAGACGACACAACTTTACCTGATTTCTTTCTATCTGGACAGGAACCAAGTTTACGGAGTGCTCTATTTGATTCAAGGTACTGTTTGTCCCGAGAAGCGGTTCAGATATTGAAGGCTTATCATAAATAGCCACATGATTTGCCATAAAGAAGAGCCGGAATTCTTCATGGCCAGAACGTTTGAAAACCCACTGCCGGATGCGAAGAACTTTGGCGAGAATTTGTTGTCAAACGAAACCCTCCTGGCTGTCCTACAGAAATCCAAAACGACAGCAGAAAGCTGGCTTGGAGAATCGTCAAAAACGACTGTTATTGCCGTCCCAGAGGCTTTGATATCTGATCCAATACGTGCACTTCTGAAGCAACTCGGCGAAGAGGTTGGACTTGACGTACTTCGAGTTTCTAGCGCTCTGACATCTGCAGCCAGAGGCCACAAGTTGGATGTCGGACTCTACGACGAAGAACCCTTCCTGATTTTCAATATGGGTAGAGATAACTTTGAAGTCTCGGTTATCAACATTGACCAGGGAGTCGTCGAAGTTTTTTCCTCGTCGATGAACAACCACTTGAGCCAAGCCTTCGGACCCTTTGCGTATGAGCTCGATGGTCAAGCCAGAGAAACTTCTGCCAAAGAAGTCGCCAATCTCGTTGAGCATGTAATTGAGAAGGCTGATCTCAACAAGAAGGACGTTCCACGGGTCATCATGACTGGTGAATTTACACAACATCCGGCCATCCGTGCTATGCTGGAGGAGTTCTTCAACTACAACTCTTCAGTCGAGTACTTCGTCCACAGCGAGTGGCCCGAGGCAGTCACTCTGGGAACTGCCATGATTTCCAGGATCCTCACGGGAAGGGAATGCGCAGAGGTTCAATACATGTCTATGGTTCTTCCCCGCTCCATCGGAGTCGGGATTGCCGGCGGTGTTACCAGCCAGATGGTTCAACGAAACACGCCCATCCCAACAGCGAAGATACTTAACTTCACAACCACTCTCGACAACCAGACAGTCGTCATAATCCCAATCGTACTAGGTGGTTTTGTCGCCACTGCGAAGAACCAGAGGATCGCCACCCTGAGACTGGAAGGCATTCCTCCTGCTCCCCGAGGCGAGCCGGTCATCAATGTCCGCATTGCCATCTCAGAGGACGAAACCCAAGACGCAGCTGTACTCTTGTCGGCAAATGCAACTTTGATTGACTCTCAAGGGGATATCTCGATCAATCACCATATGATTCTAGACGACTGGATTAGCTGGAATGATGACGAACTATACCACCTCATCCTGAAAGAGGAGGCAGAGAATGGTTATCACGACGATATATGCCGAAGAGGTCCTTACCTCGACTTCGATGAAAGCACCCAAGTTTCGACTAAAGACTTTGATAATCTAGATGACTGGTGGGTGACGGATAGACTGAGAGCGAAGGCAGATGTGCAGAATGGACACGCTGCTCGTGCACTTTGCTTCTATGAGAAAGCATTGCCTTACTTTCCTATCGGACATTCAGAGCTTCATAAAGAGATCAAGGCTCTATGGAAACAAGTACCAGAGCGGATGGACCACAGTGCATTTAACGGGGCAGAAAATGCATTCCGGAGTCGGTTGATAAGCGATTGCTACGGTCAGTATCCATGAAAGCAGGTTCGCCCTCTTAGTTGTGGAGATGATTTGTCTTCCGTATTTAGTTGTAACTCAAGATAACAGAAACTGCTGGACAATCTGATAGCAACACTCCGACCTCACACCAGGCTTCACTCATCCCACTGAGCCCACGTGCATACACTAGATAAGTCAAATCACCTTTTCTCAATTTCCTCAACCTCGAGGTCTTTAACATCTGCCTCGGGCTCCACTCTCTCCGTATGAAAGGGTTTCCGCCGCAGTTGAGCCCAAACAATTTTGTGAGTAGGCTTCATGAATAAAGCGTCCATGTCCTCAAGCGAAATTCCTGGAAATTGGAACGATTAGCGAATAATTTCCTCAGATGTGTGCGATGTCTGAAAGAGGCTATACCTTTAGTTTCAGGGACGAACGCAAATGCCCAGATACCCATGCCGACCAGGATAGCACTAAAGAAGAAGTACGCTCCATAGCCCAGGTCAGAAATCATGTACGGTGTTGTTCGTGCAATTATGAACGATCCGACCCATGTGTCTGCTGTAGTGAGAGCTACGCACAGCATGCGGATGTCCAAGGGAAATATCTCGGAGCAGACCGTCCAAGTAATTCCCTATGGCTCAATTAGTGAGTAGCCTTCCTTAAGTTAGGTGCTTTACATACCTGCCATGTCGCTGTGATGATGAATCCATGAATGTAAACGCACGTGATGGCGAGGTATGCCCAGCCGTCTTTAGCAACGGGTCTTCCAGCGGCCGCTGCTTCGATGGGGTTGGCTTTCATGACGTATGATCCAATGTAAAACATCGGGATACATCCCAAGGCCGAACCCCATATCATACCTTTTCGTCGCCCAACCTTCTCAATTACGAGGATCGTGAAGGTGATCATACCGAGAGTCTTTGCAACTCCATAAAACCCGGTGGAGAAGAGCTTAGTGGAGGTCCCTGTAACGCCGAGTGTTTCGAAAATCCGAGGAGAATCTAGTAAAAGCGTAAACCCGTTAGCGTGATACCATGACACACCAAGGACGAGACGAGTACTTCCACCGCCTCCAGGGGAGCTCCAATGAAGAATCGACTCACAATACATAAGAATGTTGACCCCAGTGAAGCTTTGTAGGAACATCAAGGCCAGCCCGATTCCCAGACGGTTTCGGACACCTTTCTGGAATAGTTTCTTCGCCTTGGCGGTCTTGCTCATTTTCGTCGTGCTTCGTTGCTCAATCTGAGTGCGTATCTCGCCCATCTCGTGTCTGATGTATGAATGATCATTTGAAAGTCCTCGGATCATAGTCAACACGCCTTCCGCTGACTCGTAGTTATCTCCTTTAGCCAGCCATCGGGGGCTTTCTGGGCAGAACATCATGCCGACGAACAAGAGAACCCCAGGGACCAATTGGAAAGCTAGAGGAACTATCCACTGTGTCTTGGCGTCGTTGGCGACAATCTGATCGGTTGCGTAGTTGATCCAGAAACCGAGCATCCCCCCTCCTTGGGAAGCAATTTCGAATATCCCGATCAGACGGCCCCGGATGGATGGTGGAGCTGTTTCAGCGATGTAAACTGGGACGACGAGGGCACAGGCTCCGATGCCCAAGCCAGCGACAGCGCGACCGCCAATGATCATGTTCATGTTGCCATTAGATGCCGTCATTACTGTACCACCAAGAAGGAAGACGCAGGACGCGATGAGGATGGCTCGTTTGCGGCCTAGCTTTTCAGCAATTGGGAAAGTCAACAGCGAGCCGAAAAAGCAACCAGCCTAAAACCCATGAGGTTAGTTCCATATTCAATCTCAAAGAAAGCAACATTGGAAAGACTGGATAGGCGACTTGCATAAAATGTAGAGACGATGTTGCTTTGGACTTCATCTCTCTTGGACTGCGTGGCATCGAGGAGTCCAAAGTCCCTGACGAAGGAGTCGAGAGCCATCGTACCGCCGATAACGGCACTGTCGTAACCCACTGCATAGGTCAGAAGGAAATATTCAATTCACATCATTGAGGATGAAATGCAGTCTTACATGCTAAAGCTGACATGGAAGCCACAAGTGCAATGAAGTGGATACGCCAGTTTCGCACTTCCGGGGGGTCGTTTGTCCCCGAAGCATGGGTGTTGAAGCACCCCATGCTCAAATGATACAACTGGAGATCTGATCTTCGGCAAAAGTTTGGATAGCGTTCTGAGATTTTGAGAGACAGTCAAAAGGTTTGAAGCGATATGTCTGCCGTGCCTGAGCCAGAGGAATATCTCTCATAACTCACCCTGGCGTCCTTAAATACACTGAGGCGGCTCTCAAATGTGCACCCCGTTGGGATACACCCTCACGCTCGTGATCCTTGGCATCATTCTTGAATGGTATGTTTGCTAGGTTCCCCGCGTGGTTGAGAAAACCTGGGGAACCAAGCAACCTATGAACGTGGTAGGTTATGGGCTTACGAGGTGTCCATGGCGCCAGAACTGAGTCCGGGGAAGCGTCAGGTGGGGAAGGAGCGGCGTGCTTGGTAGATCGAAACTGTATCAACCTTATCTCCACATGGCAAATGTCAAGCGAATGTGCCCAAGTTCTCAAGAACCAGAAAAACCCGCCAGGGTTGCGGGCTCGTCCCGCCACCGAGTCCACCTATCAACGAGATCGTCCCAGCATGCCAAGAGCAAGGAGATACTCCTTCGTTCCTAGAAAGGACGTTGCCATCGGATCAGTTCCGATAAACGCTTGGCATTGAATCGGACGACATGTCTCGCAGGGTAGAAGCATTGGTTTCGTAGTTTATGATCACTGAAGATTGGAAAGCATGTAATTGCGGAGTGAAAGTCGAATTGATGTGACTGTCGGAAAGAGCTATTACTGATCATTAAAAGAAGTTAATACTGCATGCTATATTAATACATCTCCGCAGTAGATATTTCCAAGATCAAACCCATGTTCGAACAAATCGTTCCAAGGAATATCAGCGCTTGGCGTCGGCTGAGCCGAACTATGACCTGTTGGATGGTGACCTTTCAGACCAAACCAAGACATGAACTCCGTGTCAACCTGGTTATCAGCAGGGTCAAGATTGCTCTCGAAGAAGGGCAAAGTGGCCCTTCCTAGTCTTTGAATAATCCCCACGCTTCTCTCTACGACGGCTCCTCCATGGGAGATATCCCGAAGGAGTGTCGTACACGACCTGATGTTGGACTCCACTACGTCGCGCGTGAGCTCTTGTCTCAAGGCGGCGCTGGCTCTGAGTGAGTACAACATGGTCACGCCCGCCATAAATAGTGACGTAAGGGCCACGAATGTGTACGTGACTTTGTTTTTGGCGTAGAGCGCCGCATAACAGCTGATGAGGCTAATTGATGAGTCCGCACAATGACGCAGGGCTTCGATGGTGCTGACAGGCGATGCATGTGATGGCCTGTAGAGGTTCATGATTGCTTGATGATATGCTATCTGGAACCATTCAGGTGTTTGGTGCATGGATGTCGGAACCAAGTAACGAGGGGCCGAGACGAGCCATTGGTTCAGTCTGGTGTGGTGTTGAACTCGGATAACGTCGATGTTACTCCCTGCAAGGTTCGTGTCTCCTGCGGAGTGCAGTGATTTGTAGATATCAGCATTGATGCGGCGGAGCTCGATGATGTGAAGGAATGTTGACAAATCATTTACATCAGGGCCGAAGCTCAATGGTGTTTCTTGAGATGGGTTGGCGAGAACGTCATCGGAAAGAGATAAGGGTAGTGGCATAGTGATATCTGCATCTTGGATCCCGAGAGGAAGGCCGAGAGACATTGAGATGCCCCGGTCCATGGTGTAGACACACCAAAAAAGCCTCTTGCACATTTCTGCTTCAAGAGCTTCTTTGGAGGCGATTGTTTCGACGCGATGCAGGTTCATGCCGACAGCAAGCCGCAGGGCTAAGCCTATCGCGTACCACAAGTTGACCGACTGGGGCTCATTGTTGCCGTAAATACAGAGCAGCAAGAGACACTGGACGCTGTCAAAGTCATCAGTTGCTAGCGCACCTCCCAGACTGGCGGTAGCCGACTGGAAGAAGTCATCTTGCAATTGTCGATGTCGCTCATCTGTGCGGGCCCTTTCCGATGCTGCGATAGCCAGGACGATGTTAACTTGGAATAGGGACAAGTCATCGACTGCCTCGCCTTGGGAGAAAGGCAAATAGTGTTTCTCAAGAAATGTGGGTTTGTGTAGGGCAGGAAATTGAGGCCATCGACGACTAAAAAAGCCCTCGATCAAGTAGTTGTTGTCCTGCAAGCTTGGATGTATCAGAGATACGGGACCCTCCGGGGTTCTTCCTGTTGAAACACCATCCCACAGACGGGACGGGCTGTTTAGGAGACTCTCTTCTCCAGTCCTCGATGTTGCTGCTCCTGAAAATGTAGGACGCAGGAGACGATCGGTGTGTATTCTTTCCAAAGCGTGCCCTCGCTGAGACGCATGCTGGCCGGTACCTGTGTCCAGGCTATTCGCAGTTGGGGGGTGTAATGAGTCCGTTGCAACATCTCCGTTGGCAACCGCAGCCATCAACGCCTCCAGCTGCGCAGTGAGATTCTCCACTTGACTTCGGAGCCGGTCACATTCGCAGTCAACGTTGGCTACACGGACAAGGAAGCGCTCCGAAGGCACGCATGGCGTGCCTGCCGCCGAGCATTGCCCGCATATCGGAAGTTGTCCGTCGCACTTTGCATGAGCCCCTGTCAGTTGCTAGACATCTTCGGGGTGGTGAAGTCAGAGCCCTTCTTACCTTTTGTTTTCTTCTCCGACACCTCTCGCACGCTGCGACTCCACGTTTGAGCCCCCGCCGATGGGTTGTTGAGCGTGTCCGGGTATTGGAGTTAGGCGTCGGGATGTTGTCGGCCTGAGCCGGTGATGAAGATGGAGAGGCCGTGTCGGCGGTCGTGTCTTCGGCCATGGATGATAAAGACTCTAATGCTCTCACTTCAATTCAATTTTAGTCTCTCCCATCGATGAGAAGTTCGTCGCGATCGCATTCCGGGGCATACTGTCTTCGGTCTGAGAAGGACATGAGCCTGTGAAAGAATTCGGCGTCACTCCGTCGGATCGATCCGAAGACCCCGTGCAGAGAGTGGGGCTCACTGCTTTCGGGGTAAGGCCGTCGATGACGGGCTTTACCCGTTCGCCCCCTCACTAATTGGTGCCAAACCTCACTGAGTGAAATGCACCAGCGCGTCATGTTGACTACTGCGTCTGCTCAGAAGAATCACAGAACAGCAACTGCTTTATCAGGTATCCTTTGTAGGCGGAAAACAAGCTTGGGTAGGGCATTTACTAGTAAGGCCACAATGAAGTAAGTTATCGGATTCTACACGGAGCTGGTTCCTAACTCTCTTAAGCCCACCCAAGCCAAAATCGGCCCCGCCATGTCTCTCGGCCGATTGCTGGGACACGCACGTCCATGTCTTTGACTCAACAATCGGACCCTTTGCAGCATCCCGGGCTTACACCCCGGCCCAAGCAACCCTTCAGCAACTTTTGAACTTCAGCTCAAGTTTGACAGAAGAGAAAGCGCTCAACATTGTGTTGGTTCAACCTTCGCCATATGGCAGCGATAACACTGTTTTATTACATCTGCTCCGAAAACTTCGCGACGATGGGGCCCAGTCTCCCCGAGGTATTGCGGTGGTCGACATTGCAAGCACCAACGACGAAGAACTTTGGTCAATGCACAGTCTAGGCGTTCGAGGTCTCAGGATCAATATGCAAGCCGATGGAAAGAGTACCGACGTTGAAGCTCTCCGCAGAGTGGTGATCGAAACAGCCGCAAGGGTCAAGGCCCTCCCTAACTGGAAGATTCAACTCTTCTGCGCTGCATCAATATGGAATGATCTTTTTGATACGATATCAAAGCTTCCAGTCGAGGTCATTGCCGACCATGTAGGCGGACTGCGGGGCTCCTCTAAACTAGAGCCAGCCAGTGGAACGCGGGCGATCGATCCGACCGAACAGCCCGGGTTCGGGTCTCTGGTCAGACTGGCTGAAGCTTCAAAAGTGATCATCAAAATCTCAGGACTGTATCGACTCTCAAGCCGTGCAGGGTCCGGATACGACGACATGGAGCCGGTTATCAAGGCCCTGGCTGAGAGAGTACCTGATCAGTTAATTTGGGGCAGTGACTGGCCACACACCGGCGAGGGCAAGGATCGCTTGAAAAGAGGCAAACATGCCATCGAGGAGTTCCGAGTAATCGATAATGAACTCATTGTAAGAAATCTCAGGGATTGGATCGGAAGCGATGAGACATGGGGAAAGGTCACGGCGAGAAACCCGAAGAAGTTTTATCAGTAGCGAAACACCCCTGTTCCAACCGCGATCTCGTCGAGATTATGTGTTTCGCCAACAAGATCATCACTTCATTCAGGAATGCAACGAGCAGCAAGTTGTTCATAAGTGAAGTTGGAAATACTACACCGATGATCGCAGCAATCATTGAAGGCGCCTACACGCAAAGCCGGCATTGAGGTATCGGATGTAACCGAAGAGCCAACCTCGGAGACCGGAAACACGGGCTAAACCCGTCTCGGTTACTGCGTTGCACTCCATCCGGATTTCGTCCCCTTAATGCTCAGTGAGTGCCTTCTGGTGAATCAATTTTTGACAACTAATTTCACTGGCAAAATGGCTTCAATCAGAGCTTTCAGCGGCCGAGGCGCCCGCCCGCTGGCACAATTCACCACATCATCAGGTCGCTTCTCTTCAGCGGCGTCGATATCCACCAAGCTCCAAATTCGCGCCCAAAGCAGTTTGCCAGCAGCCTACTACCGCGGCGGCACATCCCGCGCCATCTTCTTCCGCCATGAGGACCTTCCGGCCGACCGCTCCGAGTGGGACCGCATTTTCCTCGGCAGCATCGGCAGCCCGGATCCATACGGCCGGCAACTCGACGGTCTCGGCGGCGGCATATCCAGTCTTTCCAAGGTCTGTGTCATCAGAAAGAGCGACCGGTCCGATGCAGATGTCGACTACACATTTGTCTCTCTCGGCATCAAGAATACGAATGTCGACTACTCCAGCAACTGCGGCAACATGAGCGCTGCAGTGGGCCCCTACGCGGTGGACTCCGGTCTCGTTGAGGTTCTCGACGGAGCGACTGAGGCGACCGTGCGGGTCTTCAACACCAACACAGGCAAAGTTATTGAGTCCATCTTCCCGCTTGACGGGAAGGAGGCCGCTGCTCATGGAGACTTTTCTATTGACGGCGTGGCGGGCACGGCGGCAAGGGTGCAGCTCAAGTTTCTCAACCCGGCTGGGTCTCGAACTGGGAAGCTATTTCCGACAGAGGCCAAGGTAGATGAGATTGAGGGCATGAAGGTTACTTGCATCGATGCTGGCAATCCTTGTGTCTTCGTCCAGGCTGCGACGCTTGGTGTCGAGGGAACCATCACTCCTCAGGGGATTGAGGATCACCCAACACTTTTGCAGACATTGGACAAGATTCGCCGGACCGCAGGCGTAAGAATGGGTCTAGCCAAGACCAATGACGAGGTACCTGGAAGTGTCCCGAAGATCGCCATCGTGTCGCCACCCAAGGACGGGAAGACCAACACCCTCGTTGCGCGGGCGATGTCGGTCGACCAACCTCACAAGGCTATTCCTGTTACTGTTGCGCTGGCTGCGGCTGCAGCTGCCACCGCAGAGGGCACAATTGTATCTGAGTGTGTTAAAACAAACAGTGATGCCGGTGGTGATGTGAGAATATTTCACGCAAGTGGGACTCTGGATGTAGCGGCGGATTATGGGAAGGACGGATCTCTTGATTCTGCGACTGTGTACCGAACCGCACGCAGGCTCATGGAAGGAAGGGTGTTCTGGAAGTGAGTGCTAACGGGTTCGGGGGGGAGTCGGCAAGTTGGGGCCAGCGTTGTGAACCAGTCATCATTGCATGCAAATGCGACATGGATGATATTTCGTTGATTGGTTCTTACCCCAACAAAGTCTGCTTCTCAGAATAATCATCACATGATCTCGCTAACGTGTCATCAGTGTGTGTGATTCTGCGTCAGTCTTATGAAACCCTGGAGCCTGGCTTGTGTCCAAACCCCTCTTTCCATCTTCTTTTCCACCCTCATAGCCCTTTGCCTCTACGAAGCCAGGGGTATCACCAAAAATGCCGCAAAATGTGGCTCATTAATATTACGGACACAAAAGCACTCCATCTCGAACCATTTCTTGGGGACCCTCCTGCTCAATATGCCATTTTATCCCACACTTGGGGCGACGACGAGGTCACGTTTGACAAATTCAATGCTTTGACATTGTATTCAGATTCGGACTTTGACCGCAGGGAATTCGGCACCAACACAGACATCCGAAACTCAGCTGGCTTTGTCAAAATACTCAATGCAGCTCTGTTGGCAAGAAGACATGGTTTTGTCTACCTTTGGGTTGATACATGCTGTATCGACAAAGCTAGTAGTGCAGAGCTTTCTGAGTCTATCAACTCGATGTATCTCTGGTACTTGAAAGCTACCGTTTGTTATGCATACTTGTCTGATGTTCATGCGGATGGGATCCGCAGCATGGGGCAAAGGGAATCTCAATTCAGAACCAGCCGCTGGTTTACGAGAGGTTGGACGCTCCAAGAGCTGATCGCGCCACGCGTTGTAGAGTTCTACGCCTCTGACTGGTCTCTCATGGACACCAAAAAGGTATGATAAACCCTTCTCGTAAGCCATCAGGCATTGACACATTGAAGGCTGGCAATGAATCTTTCTGCCAAGTTCTGTCAGAGATTACCGGCATCTATCCCGATATTCTTGCCGGCACAATGTTGTTGAGTGATGTTAGCGTGGCTGATAAGATGCGCTGGGCTTCTGCACGGGAGACAAAACGAGCGGAAGATATCGCATACTGTCTAATTGGCTTATTCGATGTCAACATGCCTCTTCTTTATGGAGAGGGGTCTAAAGCCTTCATACGACTTCAAGAAGAGATACTGAAGGAAACTGGGGACCAATCCTTGTTTTTATGGGCACTTGGCTCCATGAAGTCTCAAGAGTCCTCCGGCGTTCAAGCTCTCCATGGATTGCTCGCGGATTCGCCGGGTGCTTTCTCCGGACTCGGAATACACCACATTCGACCACTTCAACCTCTGGACTCTGAACACAGCGAGCCAGCTAGTATGACGAGCAAGGGCCTCAGAACGAACATGTTGCTCTTCCCCATAGATAGCTCCGACTATTTTGCTGTGTTGGATTGCACAGTCTTCAGGTCTCAGTCGCCACTCTTAAGAGAAGATGTTTGCATTTTGTTGAAGCGCCTATGGGGCAATCAATTTGCCAGAATAGATAGAGGGGTCACATCCGGAGTACAGTTCTTCCAAGATGGCGTTCCAGACATGAAGGGTAAAGGAGCAACAACCATGGTTTATATCAAGCAAAAGCCCTCTTACGCCTTGCCAGAAGTAACGATCAACCCCTATATGTTTAAGAGCGCGCATGACATCCTACCACCACCACCATCATCATCATCATCATCATCATCATCATCATCATCATCATCATCATCATCATCATCATCATCATCATCATCATCATCATCATCATCATCATCATTCTCGGTCATGGAGGCATTTCCTCCCGAGAGATTCAGCATGACAACGTCCGTGGTGCCAATCAGAGAGCCACAGTCGGGCCTAACGATAGTCACTCTAAGATTTGGCTACAGATATGAGCAGGACTGGTACCCCCTGGTTGACATCTCTGTGGGATTACAAAGCCAATTTTCGGAGTGGAATCTCTGTTACGAAATGCATCCATTCGACGGTAGCAATCTCCAGGGCGTGTACGAAAGCAACCGATGGCTCAATCTGTCCTCCGAAGCAGCGTTCAGCAGCGATATCCGATTCTTTGGGCATGCTCTAGCTCATGTAACGAACCACAAACATCGAGGGAGACGATTTCTTCAATTATCGGTCTTCATGCCGAAGGTCAATTCTGCTTTCCTGAGAAGCGAAGATCCTCAGCCGGCAGATGCAATACCCGCTCTCCCTCGTGATGTCATGCACCGAATTCAGGACGTTACTCGGCAATGCTGCTACCAGGATAGACTGGAGTACATTTTTTCTGGTGACGCATTGCTATCGCCTGACGGCGTTAGAATAGGCGTCGAGGGCATAGAAAGTATCGCCAAAGAGTTCGAAGACATCGTTGTCCCCAAACGTGGGTGGCAGACGGATATGATTCAAGCAGTCCGCAACTCAGATTTCAGTTCAATTTATTCCTTAACTTCAAACGAGAAAGGTCTGATCGAATGCCAAACGCCTGAGTTTGACAGATTCCGCCCTGTACATTGGGCCGCTACAAAGCCATACCCGGTACTAATGAAAACACTGCTCGGCCTCAAAGCAGATTTGACAAGTCAGACGCAGAGTGGATGGATGGCGGTTCACATTGCTATTTTGTCACAAGCCTATCCAACGGCGGAATTTCTGTTGGATAAGACCAAAAGGTTCTATGGTCAGGCGGGCCTCACGACCAACACTGGGGAGACTTTGTCACATCTGCTTGCAGCTTATGCAAAAGACAGCAATATTGGCGCGCGGGAGTTGAACCAGGGCATGTCCTCAGCCCTCAAAGTTGTCAGGGGGAAAATAAAACCGGAGTATCACACCAACTGCCGCGGCGAGCTTCCAGTTCATAGAGCCGCAGCTAACGGAAATACTGTCACTAGCTTTTTTCCCGGCAGAAAAAAGGGTTTTCCACCGCAGATCAATGAGACTGATCTTGGAGGCCGCTCAGTCTTATTTCACGCAGCATGTGGCGGGAATGAAACAAACATTCAGGAACTTGTCCGAATGGGTGCCTCGTTGGAATTGGTGGATCACGAAGGCAGAGGCCCGCTGCATGCTGCAGTCATGGCCAACCGACCCCGTGCCGTGAGGCTTCTCCTAGAGCTAGGGGCATATCCATACACCGTCACTAAGTCCTTTGGCTTGACTCCTCTCCACTTTGCTTGTATTTATGGATCTCATGAATGCATAAAACCGCTCTTGGATTCGCTCTACGAGGGCAATGACCTCATTACCGCCAACAGGAATAAATGGTCAGTTGGGGGCCCAAATTTCCAGCCTATTCACCTGGCCGTCTCAAACGGGCATGTAGAGTGTACAAGGGAGCTTCTTTCTGCCGGGTCTGACAGCAACAAGCTTTGCAATAACTATGTGCGCGTAAAGAAACCCCGTCGAGGACCACTAGACGAGACTGAGGTGGTAGTACTGCCAAGCCCCATGTCGCCTTTTGAGCTCGCAGTGTTTGTAGGCAACAGCACGATAGCGTCCATGATTTCTTCACACTCAACAAATTGGATTTAGGTTTCAACTACCCCTGTGATTAAAGTTTTGTCCATATTTTCAATAAGATCTGTTTAGAATAGTGATTGACTGCGGATCTGTTTTTGAGATTATAAAATCCGACTGTGTTTGCCTCTTGGGAACTCACAGACCTTTCGTGGTTTACTTGCTTTTCCCTTCTCTCTTCTGAGCTTGACTGCTCCAACCTTCAAAGTAAATTACTTCAGCAGAAGTCCACTCCGAAACCTACAAAAAGTCAGTCAAGTGCAGAATGCTGATTTCGCTTTTCATGCTGATATTTTATATGAGCTGCCTTCTATCCTGTTCGCATCTTGTTCATGCTATTCAACTCTTCTGTTGCTTCCTCTTCGCCATTAGGTTCAATGCACTTCCTTCTCTGAAATACTCAATCTGCTCGCCTGTCAATGTGTGACTCAGCTCGATGGTGAAGCTTTCTCGACCTGCTGTTGTCGGCGTAATCCTGACCTCAACGTTCTTCCCCGGTTGCAAATCCTTGATACCCACAATACTGATCCTGTCAGAAGAACTGATCCGTTCATAATCGCCTTCCTTCACAAACTTCAGCGCCAGCAGTCCTTGCTTCTTCAGGTTCGTCTCGTGGATTCTCGCAAAGCTCTTAGCCATAATAGCCACGCATCCAAGGTAGCGCGGCTGTAACGCCGCATGCTCACGGGATGAGCCTTCTCCATAGTTATGATCCCCGATCACGACCCAGGGCTGCGAGGCTTCTTTATAAGCCCGGGCGGTACCAGGAACATCGCCCTCTTCACCGGTCAACCAGTTCTTCACTTGATTGACCTTTCCCGTTTCGGCATTCACAGCCCCAATCAGGGTGTTGTTTGAGATGTTCCCGAGGTGGCCACGGTAAGCGAACCACGGGCCAGCGGGCGTGATATGATCCGTTGTGCACTTGCCCTGAACCTTGATCAGGATAGCACAATTTTCAAAGTCTTTTCCATGCCAAGGTTCGAACGGGGCTAGTCTTTGGAGTCGCTTCGACGTCTCGGCGATCTGGACTTCGACTTCGTTGCGGCCTGTCGATGGTGGGGGGCTGTACACGTAGTCCGTGTTTGCGTACCCATCAGACGGCAGAGCCTCTCCACCTGGAGGCTTGAAGCGGAAGTCAGAGCCTGAGGGGGTAACAATAGAGTCCGAAGTGGGGTTGAAACTGAGGTCGTCTGAGAATATCTTCGCCATGACCATTTCTGGTGAGGCTAGGAAGATGTGAGTGGCCGGGTTTCCGTCAAGACGGCCAGTGAAGTTGCGGTTGTAGGATGTGAGAATAGAGTTCTTGACGCCCTGATTTCGGAGTTAGCATATGCGCTTGATCTCCAACCAACATCGAGCAGCTTACCTTCTCCATATCTTGACGATCCCAAGAACCACAACACGGGCCACAAGCATTCGTCAATAGCTTGCTTCCGAGCTCCTCAAACACCTGAAGTACCCCATTCTCCTGCAGTGTCTTCCTCGTTTGCTCACTTCCGGGAGACACAAAGAGTGGCATCTTCGGCTGAAGCCCGGCATCCACCGCCTGTTTCGCCAACTCAGCGGCCCTTGACATATCTTGAAATGAGGAATTGGTACAAGAACCAATGAGTCCTGCAGTCAAGTCCTTTGGCCATCCTTCCTTGTCAACGGCGTCCGAAAGCTTCGAAATTGGCGTTGACAGGTCGGGTGTGAATGGTCCGTTGATGATGGGCTCTAGCTCGGAAAGGTTGATGTCGATGATTCTATCATACTGGGCGTCTTCATCCGCTCGCAACTCTGAAGATGCAAAGCGCACTGCATCGGCGACATCGTGGCGATGTGTCGCTTGCAAATACGATCTCATCGCCTCGGAGTATGGGAAAATCGAAGTTGTGGCTCCCGTCTCAGCACCCATGTTGCAAATCGTCGCCATGCCAGTTGCGGAAAGAGACTCAGTGCCCGGGCCAAAGAACTCGATAATGGCTCCAGTTCCCCCTTTGACAGTAAGTATACCCGCCAACTTGTTGATGACATCTAAACATTGGGTCAGATCCGACGTCGCTATCGCTTAGAATCATGCTTGCTCACCTTTGGGCGTAGCCCATCCCGACAGCTGGCCCGTCAATCTCACGCCAATGATATGCGGTGCAGTTAATTCGAAAGGCAGCCCAGCCATCACGTCAACCGCGTCGGCCCCGCCCACGCCAATTGCAATCATCCCCATTCCGCCCGCATTAGGAGTGTGTGAGTCTGTGCCGACCATCATGCCTCCCGGAAAAGCATAGTTCTCGAGAACAGTTTGATGGATGATTCCAGCGCCAGGTTTCCAGAAGCCCATACCGTATCTCTTACATGCGCTTGACAAAAAGTCGTAAACCTCCTTATGCGTGCTCAGAGCTTGGGGAAGGTCTTCGTCCTGGCCTGTCCTGCCGACGATAAGATGGTCGCAGTGAACAGTCGTAGGCACGGCAGTGGAGTCAAGACCAGCGGACATGAACTGGATGATTGCCATCTGAGCTGTCGCATCTTGGCATGCGATTCGCCGAGGACGTAATTTGAGCTGGGTCTTGCCGCGGTGTAGGGGCTCATCGCCAATATTATCGGCATGGGCGAAGAGGACCTTTTCTGAATAGGTCAGGGGTCTCCCAAGACTGTGGTGACTGTCAGTGTCATGTTCAAGAATGCGGGATGTGGACTCACATCTTTCGACTTGACTCAATCCGACGCGTGAGGTCGGCATAGTCAATTGTATGATCGGTCTCGAAGCGACTCAGTCTCGCCTTAGAGCTGGCTGAGCTCACTGATGCCAGGCCTCTTCTGAGACCAACATGTCGCATGTGGGGGGAGCCTCTTGATAGGCGCGCCAAGGGTCTGGATGCGTGGAGGTACATCTTGAACTCGGCATTGACTGACTAATACCGCAAGTTGTATTCGCCAATCGTGGGACAGGTAATTCTTTTCAAACAATTCATCTTTGGATGTTTTTGAGCGTTGCAGGGGGCGAATATAACTGCGAGGGCTGTTGATCGGAGCGTTCCGACGCTTCTCGAGTAGACCGAGGACCGTCGGCTCGAGCCGAAGGAGTCCCAACGGCTCTGCACTCTAGCTACGCAACGATTACGAGGCGACGATACTTTCACTGAGTAAATAATCCAACAAAATCACTGATATTTTAGGCGTGTATTCATTGAATGTGAAGCCACTCCTTGATCTAAGTGATTGTCCAACCTAATCACCAGCGACGCCGGTAACACGCTCACGGACTTCTGCGTTGATCTTCTTCATCACCCTCACCAAAGGTGCAAAATCGCACTCCTCCTGGGCTGCTGTCTCAATACTCTGGGCTACACGGTCTAGCAAGTCCAAGTCAGCAGTCGCATCGTCGAGGTCTGGAGAGTTGACCATGTTGCTTGCGATATGGGCATATGCAATGTGAGCCCGGTAAGCGCCCAAGATGTACGAGATGGCCTCAGCTGCAGGGAACCTCCAGACATGCAGCATGAGGTATGTCAGCTCCAGGATGCGACGTGATATCCTGGTCGACAGGTGTGTCTTTGGTATGTTATCATCTGAGGAGATGGGGTTAGGTGAGTTGGTCTTGAGAAGCGTCGCCTTCCGGAGCATGAAAATGATGCAAGTGTAGCCGTTGAGCAGCAGATCTCCCAAAATCCACAGGTTGATCATGTCATTTTCGTGCGCAGATCGCTGAACCCAATCCTCCTGCGTATTGTTAGCGATCCCCAAGCACTCCGTGACATCTTTGGGACAAGGTCATAACTCACAATCCTCCATTCTTCGAGCAGTGATTCGATCTCGTGACAAAGAGGCTCGATAGCATTCACGGCTTCAGACTCGTTATCAAGCGTTTTGATCATTTGAAAGAAGTGGATCAGAACGAAGGTGAGTCGGCTGCGGACGAGAAATGCAATGGTTGGCACTGGCGCATCGTTGTTCGGAGTCGAGTCGAGCGAGAGCCACGGCAAGTTGACCTGCCAGCTGTCAAGACTTCGGAACAGTTTTGCCGGCTTGTTGTAAATCAAGTGGTAGAATAGATCTGTTTGAATAAGCTCCCACATGCCTCTGCGGTCGTCATCTGTTCTTGTGGAACCAGGCTCGGTCACTGCGAAATAATCGTTGCCATCAAGACTGTGCAGGTGAAGGCCTTTGGCATAGTCGCAGGCTAGCTGATGCATCTCCAAACTTGAGTCGAAGTCGAACATTTCCGTCGCAACTCCAGTCTAGATGCAAGTCAGTTCGTGGTCAAATTTTTGCAGTAATTGGCTTTGGCTCACCATGAAGATGGCAGCAATGAAGTCTGTTATTGAACCAGTTGCTTCTTGCTGCCATGCTGGGATGGCACGCAAACAACATAGGTATAGCTGTCGTGCATACTTCCGATCGGGGCTATGGAAGGATCTTGTGTTAAGGATGTAGCATCCACGCCAAAGGATGACATAGTATACGATCAGAATACAAGGGTCGAGAGTGACATGCTTCATGGTCAGCATGTCGGGTATCATTTCAATCATCTTCCTGTCAACAAGACTGAGGAACGTTTCCGTGGGCGTGTAAGTGAAGTAGTCTGGGCCAAGGAATCACTCATTAGTAAGAAATAACCATGCCTGTGGCTGCGGCAGAGTCTCACTGTGGATCCAAGTCCTTGCAAGTTCCGGTGGGATGAGAACACCCTCTGTGGTGATTGCTTGCAGCCCAACAGTGCGCTTCAACCTCAGATCTCGGACCCGATCGAAGGTGTCACTGAGAGTGGAGGCCACATCGAGTGGGGGAGATCCCGGAGAAATGCCCTCGGATGGCTTTGTTCTCAAATGCAAGAGCCCTATGCTGTCTTCGACAGAAGGAATTGGAGAAGGATCCCCAGACGGACTCGGAGTGGAATATGGTGTCTCGGAGACATCATCGGTAGCACTGCAAGTAGACTTTTGTCGTTGCGACGAGGAGCCTGCAATAGGAGATGAAGGCTTGGGCGAGTATTTGCCCTCAATGCGTTGCAGCCGTTCGAGAATCAACGACAAGGTCTCACTCTCAGAACTTTTGCATGAATAGAAGCTGATAAGCTTTTCACATTGATAAATGAGGTGAGATGGAGCCAAACCTTTGATGTCGTGGTATCTCTTTCCTGATACTCTTTCTAGTCCGTCGCTGTGGATAATGGCACGAGAGACCTTGACTGTTGCATCGTTCGCATGTTGGGGTGTCTCGGCTGCACCTGACCTTAACTGGTATTAGTCAACTTGCTCATATGGAGTCTTGGATATGGAATCTTGTTGGTCAGCACATACCTTCTTGCTTCTGCAGTTTGTACACTGTTAAGTGATTCATCAGCTAAATTCCCGGCAATCCGTCGTCCGATCCCAGCATAACGTTATGTAGGTCTCGGTAACATTGCGTTGGATGCGGGACGAGATGGGTGTGAAATGGAAGCTTACCGACAGGCCATTCACCACAACAACCCCTGGCCGATCCATGGAGAGTCAAAAACTCGGAACATGCAGGCAGACTGCGAACGTCCGGGGTGGCAGCCAATGCGAGGGGGCAGCAGATGATTCAGGGATCGGGAGAACGGTTGGTGAGTACTGCGGGATGAAAGCGGTCGATATTGAGAGATGGAAAAGATGGAAAGTCCCAAGAAGACGCCAACCTGACGCTGATGGATCACGTCGTTTGTCCAGTCCAAGCTGGCGAGGGCACAGCATTCTCCACAAAGAGATCTGGGTTCAGAGTCATTCTCGCCGATTGACGAATGAGAAGCTTCTCATCCGCAGCTAGTGGCCCACGTTCCCGAGACTTGGACAACACGGATCGTTAGCTGCTCCCAGCTTACATCCGCCATTACCCCATTGGGGAGTTCCATCTGCAAGCCGCACCTCTCGGCGGGGTGGTTTGCTCAATTCCCATTGATCGAAAGTTGCGAATGCCAGAAAGCCCCCACTTGTCCGGCACTTCGCACTCTCCGAAAGTGCGGCTTGCCCACCCGTCCCGCTGTTTCTCCATCCCGGGGGCGACGCCGGATCGGCCAGCCAAGGAACTTCGCACTTTCCGGGAAAACTTCATCATGTAGGGATTCATTTCGAAACTTTGACTTTGAGGCCTTCGAAAGAGTCATTCACACGCGGTGAAGCTGACCGCTGGAAGATTCGAGCCCCGTCGCCAAGGACATCTCGTATTAGATGGAATACTTGAAGGCTTCTTGGTCTGCTTAGTTCCTCCTATAGTCGGGCATAGAGGTTTCGGTTTTCAATGACCCTTTGAGTTGGAAAGACTTGCATTTCGTATCATTTCATCGCCTGCTGATACACCCTTTCGGTCGATCTTATCTCATCTTTCCTCACTCTTAGTTGTCTCTTATTAGCCTGATTATCTCGCGGCCTCCCCCAATCAGCTATCGCATAAGCACGGTTCAACCACACAGGCGCCCGAAGGCTTGTTTTCGCAATGCCATCAACGGGCCTCTTTGAACATGACGTTCACAAGACCGGTGGTCACCAATACAACTTGGATGCCGACGTCACCCCGTCTGGCCAGTCAGATGCCGAGATTTTGGTCGGCGAGGAGATCAACGAACTAGCTAGGCGCTTGACAAGCGCATCTCACCCTGGTGGTCAGGGTCACTCCTTATTTCCTGAGCCTTCCGACAAGACACTCAACCCCAACAGCGACGAGTTCGACGCTCGAAAATGGGCCGCGGAGTTCTACAGAATCCAGACTCAAGCACTGCTTGGCAACGCGCCAAATACAGCGGGTCTGGCCTTCAAAGATCTTCAAGTGTATGGCTTGGGCACCACGATGGACTACCAGAAGACCGTTGGCAACTTCGTTCTCGAAGCAGCATCGCTATTCTCGCCGTCGAAGAGACAACAGCGTATCGATATCCTTCACGGCTTGGAAGGCGTTGTCCAAAGCGGTGAGATGCTCGCTGTGCTAGGGCCCCCCGGATCTGGCTGCACCACGCTTCTCAAGACCATTGCTGGCGACACCCATGGCTTTTATATCGCCGATGGGGCGACTCTCAACTACCAAGGCATCTCGCCGGAGGACATGCGGACGAGCTTTCGGGGAGAAGCCATCTACACGGCCGAATTTGACTACCACTTTCCCTATCTCACAGTCGGAGAGACCCTTTACTTCGCTGCCAGGGCACGATGCCCCCAGAACATGGACCTTCCTGATGGCATCTCCAAGCACCAGTACGCGGAGCACCTGCGGGATGTTGTGATGGCAATGCTTGGTATCTCTCACACCAAAAACACCAGAGTTGGAGATGACTTCGTGAGAGGCGTCAGTGGTGGTGAACGCAAGCGAGTGTCTATCGCTGAGGCAGTCTTGAGCTATGCCCCACTTCAGTGCTGGGACAACAGCACAAGAGGACTTGATTCCGCGAACGCTATCGAGTTTTGCCGAACTCTCCGCATGCAGGCAGACATTTTCCGCTGCAGTTCATGCGTGGCTATCTATCAGGCGCCTCAGGAGGCCTACGATGTGAGTTGAATCCAGACCTCCAAAAGACCTGTATCAGAGTTATTTCCATGTGCTAACTGTGGATGCAGCTTTTCGACAAGGTCGTGGTCCTTTACGAGGGTCGACAGATCTATTTTGGGAAGGCGACAGAGGCAAAAGCCTACTTCGAAGGCCTCGGATTTCAGTGCCCTGAGCAGAAGACAACTGCCGATTTCCTGACCTCCATGACCAGTGCTGCGGAGAGAGTGATACACCCGGACTGGAGTGGCAAGCCGCCGCCACGGAGCCCTGATGAGTTTGCGCAGGCTTGGAAGGAGAGTCGAGATCGCCAGCTGCTCCTCAATGAGATCGACCGTTTTGAATGCGAATTTCCCCTGGGTGGCGACACTCATGCCAAGTTTTTGGCTACACGACGAGCGCACCAATCCAAGCAGACCCGCCCTTCTTCGCCATTCACCCTGTCGTTCTTCCAGCAGGTCAACCTCAATCTCTGGCGCAGTTTCAAACTCTTGATCAGCGAGCCTTGGATGACGATCACCATGCTTTCGACCAATTTCTTCGAATCGCTCATTATTTCCAGCATCTTTTACAACTTGAAACCCGACTCGTCGACTCTGTACAACCGCATGCTCCTCATCTTCTACACCATCCTCATCAACGCGATGGGTAGCATCCTGGAAATCCTGACCCTCTACGGCAAGCGCAAGATCATCGAGAAGCATGCGCGATACGCCCTCTATCACCCGAGCAGCGAAGCAGTAGCTGCCATGCTTGTTGATCTACCCTACAAGCTGCTAAACTCGCTCTTTATCAACATCCCGATCTACTTCATGACCAACCTCCGACGCGAAGATGCGGGTCCCTTCTTTTTCTTTCTGCTGTTCTCCTTCAGCATCACGGTTTCCATGTCCATGATCTTCCGCTTCCTCGGTTCAGTCACCAAGACGATCGCGCAAGCATTGGCACCCTCATCCATCATTCTGCTGGCCCTGATGCTCTTCAGCGGCTTTGCCATTCCTCAAGGCTACCTTCACGATTGGATTGGTTGGCTACGTTGGGTCAACCCAGTGTTCTACGCTCAAGAAAGTCTTGCACTGAATGAGTTTGTCGGGCGCAACTTCAGCTGCGCGCAGTTCGTTCCCTCAGGCGCGGGCTACACTGGTTCTTCAATGCAGCCCAACGAGCGAGTGTGTGACATCGGCGGTGCCGCCCCGGGTGCCAGCTTCGTCAGCGGCGAGGAGCATCTTCGCGTCGTGTACGACTTCGACCCGAGCCACAGATGGAGGAACTTTGGCATTTTGATGGCCCTCACCATCTTCTTCATGGTGATGTACCTTTTTGCCGTTGAGTGGGTTTCCTCTGAGAGATCCAAGGGCGAGGTTCTTGTTTTCACTCGCAAGGCCTTGAAGAAGGTGAAGCGAGCAACGACGGATGTGGAGAACACCGACATTAGCCACGCATCGTCGACAACTCAGAACCAGAGTGACAGCGACAGTCCGGACATAGCGAAGCAGACTTCGGTGTTCCATTGGCAGGATGTGTGTTACGAGGTGCAGGTCAAGAGCGAGACTCGAAAGATTTTGCAGCACGTCGATGGATGGGTCAAGCCAGGCACTTTGACTGCTCTGATGGTAAGTTGCGAACCCACCCTTCCTTTGCCTCAGGTCAATGCTAACGTTTCGATTGACAGGGTGTTTCGGGTGCTGGTAAGACCAGTCTTCTTGACGTGCTCGCCAGCCGCGTGACCATGGGAATCGTGAGCGGTCAGATGCTCGTTGACGGTCATCTACGAGATTCCTCGTTTCAGCGCAAGACGGGCTATGTGACCCAGCAGGATCTTCACCTCCACACCGCAACCGTGCGAGAAGCCCTGAGCTTCAGCGCTGTTCTACGACAACCTCAGCAGTATAGTCGTGAGGAGAGACTAGCCTATGTCGACACCGTCATCGATCTTTTGGGAATGCAGGAATATGCCGACGCCGTGATCGGCGACCTAGGCGAAGGCCTCAACGTCGAGCAGCGCAAACGCCTAACCATAGGCGTCGAACTAGCCGCGCGTCCTCAATTGCTTCTCTTCCTCGATGAACCCACGTCCGGCTTGGATAGTCAGACATCTTGGTCGATTTGTGATTTGATGGAAAAACTGACGAAAAACGGACAAGCTATTCTATGCACGATTCATCAGCCATCGGCGTCCCTTTTTCAGAGATTCGATCGATTGCTATTGCTAGCCAAAGGAGGGCGCACAGTCTATTTCGGCGACATCGGCCGCAATTCTCATGTCTTGATTGACTACTTCAGCCGTCACGGTGCCCCAGCCTACAAGCCTGGATCTAACCCAGCTGAGTACATGCTCGAGGTGATTGGGGCTGCTCCGAAGGCCCATACAGACATCGACTGGCCGACTGTGTGGCGCGAGAGTCAGGAGTTCCAGTCGGTGCAGATGGAACTTGCGAGGCTTTCGGGTAGCCAAGACGAGAAAAGTACTCAGGCGAACGCCGAGGTCCATGATTCTTCAGCGTATGCTGAGTTTGCGGCGGATTTCCGAACACAAGTGCGAGAGGTGACGACAAGGGTCTTCCAGCAGTACTGGAGAAGCCCATCTTACATCTTCTCGAAATCGGTCGTCACGTTTGGCTCGGTAAGTTCGGATTCCCCAAGCTCTTTCCTGCCGCAAATCATAATACTGACCATGCAATTCTTAACAGGCACTGTTCATTGGCCTTACTCTCCTGGGTAACGAAAACACCGAGCGTGGTCTCAAGAACCAGATGTTCGGCGTCTACATCTTCCTCTTCCTGTTCAACCAACTGGTTCAACAAATAATGCCCGCCTTTGTTCATCAACGAACGGTGTACGAGGCTCGTGAGAGGCCAGCGAAAGCGTATTCATGGAAAGCCTTCATCTTGGCGAATATCATCGTTGAGATGGCTTGGAACTCGCTCATGGCCGTGTTCTCCTTCCTGTTTTGGTACTTCCCCATGCGCCTCGACCGCAACGCAGAGTGGACGGACTCGGTGCATTCACGTGCGCTCACACTGTTCTTGATCTGCTGGGTCTTCTTCTTGTTCTCAAGCACCTTCGCTCACCTCCTCATTTCTGGCCTGGGAAGCGCAGAAGTCGCCGGCGGCATTCTCAACCTAATCTTCATTCTCATGTTCGCGTTTTGCGGGTATGTTCATCACCTTACTTCCTATTCCAGTATCGATGCTGACATCTCGTGTTTTCAGTGTTCTCGCAGGGCCTACCGAGCTCCCAGGCTTCTGGATATTCATGTACCGAGTCAACCCTCTGACCTACGTCGTCGAAGGCTTTCTCAGCGTGAGTCTCGCAGACGCGCCAGTCACCTGCAGCTCCAACGAACTGCTGGGTTTCAGTGCTCCAGGTGGTAGTACATGTGGCGACTACATGGCGTCGTACATCCAGAGCAACGGCGGCTATGTCGTCGATGGGAATGCGACTTCTTGCCAGTATTGCGGTATGGCCGGTACGAACGACTTTTTGTCCAGCATGAACATGAGCATCGACAATCGGTGGCGCGACTTTGGGTTCATCTGGGCGTATTGTGTTTTCAATATTGCTGCTGCAGCGGGATTGTACTGGCTTGCGAGGGTACCCAAGAATGACTTCAAGAAAAGAAGTCAGAATTTCATGATTACGAAGAGAATTGAGCGTTCGGGATAGAAGAGATATGGTTTGTATTACTAGATTGGATTCGGTTTAGAGTCTCGATTAAAATTGGAAACTAGATAATAGAGCACCAAAAGTGCAAGAACCCAATCAGCAACACCTCCGTGAGATTGAAGTAAAATCAGACGGACTCATAATTTCCAAGCCTACGGGAGCTTCAATAGCTGCAGTATCCATGGGTGCGTGGGATCGAAGCTCTGTTGTTGGGCGCTGTGTACCGACTCTATCGGAAGTGTCCGATGTCTCAACATTAATAGCCATCGGCCCTATCCGACAGCACTCATGACACTGCTGTATCCCATCTACCTGATAGAGGGTCTCGAGGTCACCAATCAATACTCTAACCCATCATAACTACAATTGAATCTCTTCATTTCTCTTAGCCAGCAATCTTCCAGCTGACTTCTATTCCGTGATATTGCCAACCAGATATCGCAAGATGGCAACTTCAGCGTCAGCGACATATGCACCAACATTCGGGGCGGTCGAGAAACGCAAGACCCCATGGCGTAATCTAATGGTCGGCGCATGTATGAACGTTATCCAAGGTATGTTAGCTGTTATTTCATGAACCTGCGTCTTCCACGCCTGTCCAATCACATGTCCTAACATCAACTGCAGTCACCACTCTGGGGCAGCCCATGGAAGTCATCAAGACCCACGTAAGGCAATGCAAGCCAAGCTCACTATGAGGACTACATACTTACCATACTACCTCGTTTCTTTGTTCAGGCCAGTGCCAACAGAACCGATACTCTTGGTGACGCTGTACGCAAAACCTGGGCTCGTGCTGGGGTTCGAGGATTCTATCAGGGTCTCATACCATGGGTTAGTGAATCATCGGAGATGGTCTTTCTCTCAGGCTTATCGTATTGACGTTTACTGCAGGCTTGGTTAGAAGCCTCAACGAAAGGCGCAATCTTGGTCCTAACATCTACAGAGGTTGAGTACTACGCTAAGAGATCCGGCCTGGGTACCGAGATCGCTGGTGTGTTGGGCGGCGTTGTTGGTGGTGCATCTCAAGCATACCTTACCATGGGTACGAACACTACCAGATCATGCTCCAACTTTACAGCTGACAGGACAAACAAGGTGTTACAACATGTATGAAGACCGTCGAGGTCACAAGGCAAAAGACTCCAAAGACAGCCGGCAGAACGCCAGGGACCATGGAGGTATTTCTCCAGATCCTGCGCACCAAGGGTATCCGAGGTGTGAATCGAGGTGTCAACGCAGTAGCTCTTCGTCAAATCACGGGCTGGTCTTCAAGAATCGGCATTTCGAGAGTAGCGGAGGGCCAAATCAAGTCGTTCAGGGGCAAGTCGCCAGAAGAGAAGCTAGCTCCACCAGAGAAAATTGTTGCATCCATCATCGGAGGTGCGCTTAGCTGCTGGAATCAGCCATTTGAGGTAATATCTTCCCATTTCCAGTGTCGATGTTGATCCTGATCATTGTTCATAGGTTGTGCGGGTTGAGATGCAGTCGCTGAAGGCGGACCCCTCCCGTCCACAACAGCTCACGATGGCTTCTACTGCGAAGCATATTTGGGCAACGAATGGATTCACTGGTTTCTTCAGGGGTGTCGTACCTCGAATTGGAGTGGCTGCCTGGGCGACAGTGTGCATGGTCGGATTCGGCGATATGGTGAAGGAAGCCGTCGGTTCGAAGGCTTAAACCAGGTATGACCATAGAACGGGGTCGGTCGCGGCACGGCGAGGCGGCAACGGAGAATTGGGATTAAAGGCTTTAAATCGAATTCATGCAGGCCGTAGTACATTACATACATCGCAGACTCATCAAAAGAAAACACCGGTTATGGCCGCCATACAATAGAATAATACACCCATCACGATACAAACGCCGTGCATCTAATCCTGCCATCCGGCCATGGAGCTTGTCATCTCCCAGTCACCGCTGGCGCATTGTCTCCAGCTCGTCGACACAGTCGCTTCCTCTGATTCGAGCGTGCCGTCATCGGCCTGACGGAATAGTGTGATGTCATAGCAGATGGCCATCGACATCAGTCCGATCTCAACAACGTGCGGCTTGTGCATCTTGTAGCTCAGGTACCGGTCGCTCTCCTTTAGCACCTCCTTCAACGTCGGCTCCGAGCTCTCGGTGTACACCTCGGGATCGCCAAACAGCAGCGGGTTGCACATGATGGCGCCCTTGCCAATGTACTTCAGTGCGCTCTTGGGCTTGTGGCAGAGGGCGCCCCAAAGGAGCGTCTCCATCTCAATGGCTTTGGCGTGGTTGCGCTTCGCGATGGTGTTGAGGGGTCCCTCGTCCTCCGACTCGTCGTCGGTATCATACTCGCGGCGCGGCTTCGGCTTGGGCTTCTCCTTCTTCTCCTTCTTTTCTTTCTTCTTCTTCTTCTCCTCGCCGTTCTCACGCGGAGGGGATTGAGAGGCCGACTCCTTGCGCGGGCGGCGGGCTAGTTGCTTGCCTTCGGTTTCCTGGCCGTCCGCGAGCTGGGGCTTCTTCTTCTTTTGATGCTCCTCCGCACCAGGGCCGTGGGGGGAGGGGTCTGTGGTGAGACCGAGGACGGAAGGCATGTTGGCGTTGTTTCTAAATGTTCTCGGTTGCTATATTGTAGTGTGGGAATCAAGTTCAAATCGCTTGTTCGTCGATGAATGCGTTCGCTATGTTGTAGATGGAGCAAGTGGTACCAAAAAAGAACAGGCTCGCATCTCCGGGTGCAACGACAGAGGGGGCACCAGCTACTTCAAATGGGGGGCAGAAAGGCAACGGGCAGACGTTACGTGGTATGATGTCTCCCGTCACGCGGCCCCAGCGCCCGTTGACGTCCTTTCTCTCTACATTCGCCGGCCGAATGAAAGAATTTCTTGCTTTCCCGACCGAGGTGACGTCAGTTGTCGCGACTGGAAGCTGCTATCGAGCAGGGTTTCGTTGGGGAAAGCTGCGTCGATTGGCGCCCCGCACTGCGCGGAGCATGACATCAGTCTTGCTGGCGGGATGTCACTGTGCGGCGGCCTGCAGGAGGTCCAGAACGCTGAGTCATCACGAAAAGACAGGGATTGATCCCTGTTTCTGAACATGGAACAGGCGCGTTCTCGCATTCTGAAGATGAGATGTTCGAAGTGATGAGGGCCCGGGAGAAGCTCGTAGATAGAAAGACGTGGTGTTTTCCCCACAGATTGCCGCATTGCCGCTAACAGTTGAGCCACAGCCGGGGCTTGAAGCCATCGTTTCGTCGTGCTTCCCGCTAAGCTGTTCTGGTCTCTAGAGTTGTCGGCTTGCTGATGGCTGACCACGATGCATGAGAGGCTACTGCTGAGTGGAAGCGTTTCCCCGCACTGGCTGCTAAATGGCTGCACGTGTCTGAGAGCGCCGTTGACAAGTTCTAGCCGTTTCGCTCGTCTTTGTGGAATGTCAAGGTCATGATAAGCTTCTTCCAAAATTTATTTGGCTGTCCTGGTATCTCTTCCCGTCGCTGGTATTGTCTACATGGTATCCTTTTACTTGCAAAATTATTCGCGAGGAGAGAAAAGTTTGAAAGGAGAATAAAACTTGAAAACAGTAGGTCGTTTCTGCCACCCGCAGTAATTGTTACCGATTGCGCACCTCGAAGACGTATCACCGGCAGCCATTAAAAGAAGTCCAGGCGCTATTCTTGTACAATGATCCTACTTCGTCACTCTGTCATTCTTCGTTTCCATTGATGTACCTAAATTCATCTAAGCCTTCCATGTTGTCGGTGCACACTAATTGGGGAGGGCATCCACCAAGTCCTTGAAGCTTGTTTGTTCCGTGTCTATTACTCTTTATTGAAACTTTTGCGTCGCCACACGATTCATCCAACCTCGATATATGTGCAATTCTTGAGACGTATGGCTCTGATGCGTTGAGCCAGCAATTCCTGGATGACACGCTTATCACTCTCATGGTCGCGAGGGCTCACGCGTGGCCGCAGCGAAATTGTGATGTTCTCCACCCTATCAAGCTCCTCTAAGATCTCAACAAGCAACCGAGTCGGCATCCCCAAACTTTCATCGTTTTCAAGATCCCATTCCAGATGAATTCGATTGACTTTTGAACCAAGAGCGGACGGCATGCAAAACCCCTTGCCGGCCACATCTTTAATAGTAGTTATTGCATGGTCGAAAGCCCATGTAAACGGGAGGAGTGCGATTCCGCACCTCGTAGACAGTCCAAACTCTGGTATGACTGTCCTCAAGGACGGTTCAATCGCTAGATCTGCTTTGAATCTTGCGGTAACATCAAATTCCAACATCCAATTGAAGGCTCCTGCTCCCTCCTCTCGGCACTGTTGATTTCGGGCCTCAAATAGTCTGTACAGCCTTCCAAGGACGCTCAAATTCGCTCGGCGATTGACGTATGTAAGTGGACAGGCTTTGGATATCTTATTGCAGATGATGCGGCGGGGATCAGACACCTCTCTCTCTTCCAAAAGGTAAATTTCGTTTCCCCAGCAGGGGTAGTATCCTAAACGCCAGAGGTATATCGCTGGAAAACAACCTGTGGAAGAGATGAATAGCAGTGAAGTTGCTAGTTCAAAGATGATATCTTGAATCTCGAGGGGCAGGTCCGTAAATTCTTTCTTGCGATGTCTTTGATTCTGTTTCACCTTCAGATCCTTTCCTTTCTTGGTAACGGATAGAAGATGTTTTGCCAAGGATGGTGCGGATTGGGGTTCATTCTCTTTTTCGAAACACATACTGCAATTGATGAAGTGGAAGTCATGCCCATCGATGCCATCAGTATAACTCACAGGATGATTTTCGGCTTGCTTCCGCCACCACAATTCTTGCTTGTCAAAAAATACGGAAGGCTAAGGAACCTCTATCTTCTTTGCGAGGTTCCTTGGTTGCTGGAGAATGATACAAGGGGGCTTCTCGCTTGGAGCTCCTAAAGATATTCGGTATTTGCACTTTTGCCTTCTGTCGCTGACGGGGTAGTGTCGTGGTTGATATTGAGTCGCGCCCGATCGTGAGTCGTGTTGCCGTTGCTGGTTGCAGCAGGAATTTGTCCAAAGCCATGCATGCGGATGATTTGTGAAAACGAAATGTATTGAGAAGCTAGTAGTCTTTATATCTAGGAAATACGTTACCTTTGGGCCTCTCTCATCCGGGTTTCACGATTGAAATGGACCTTCATCCTGTAAACTATACATTACCTTGATCGTGTCCTTAGAATTCTAACTTCTAAGGTAGAATTGGTTTAAGTCTCGGAGTTCGATGATTTTGTCTCTAACGATTCTGGTCGTAATATTTGTTACTTGTCGTAGTCTTTGGTGTTTGCACTGGCGAAGAAGATCGAAGCAAACCACCGTAGTCGAAAGCTGATTTAAATACTGCGAAGCATCACTCTATAGTTTCTCATCACTACCGTCCCCTCATTATTGACTTGATATATTGTTACGAATTCCATCAAAAAGAATGTCGAGATACCTTCAGCCGACGTTCCACGGTATTCCAATACCGGCACATCATGTACACCAGAACCGAAAGCTCGAGGCATCTCTCCACTACAGGCAGTTCCTATGACAGGATGTTCAAGACCCACCAAGCATGGGCATTAATATCTCCTCGAATAGCTATTTAGAATATCTTGAATGTGACGCAGGAAAACGGATGCAAAGTTAATACCGTTGTTAAGTCCGATGTTGCTCCCTTGCCATGAACGACGGGCATCCCCATCCTACTTCGCGAACTCCGCAACTCCACCAGGATTGCCCATGATGGCTCTAATAAAGCGTTTGAAACTCCGCGAACCCATCACTAGACTTGTAGACCATTCTTTTGGTGACTGCTCCAGACACATAGGATGTCCTGCAAATTTAATTGGCATTCGAAAGGGAGGGCAATCAAGGGGAGAGTCTGCGAAATGAAATGACAGCTTCTTTTCTCCTAACATGTCGGGATCACTCAACCCTGGTCTCAGAAGGTATACTCCAAAATCTCAAATCCGACGACGTCAGCGATCCTCTCATTGCGACCTCGAGTAGGCCAAGGATTTCCTGGTAACAATTGAGATCCACGCACCATTCTGCGGATAGATCCCGAGTCCACGTCCCCTATCCGCCAGAGCCGCGGACGGATCTTGGCATCCACAATTTGCCCTTTTGAGGCATTCTGATATCAGAGATACTCAAGTCACATGGAGCTTTTAGCATGGGTAAACAGCTATGGTGCGCAGGCTCGGAAGTCGTGAGAAGCACAGGGCACAGACAGCCCCAGGTTTGACGGTGTCCCAGCGATTACCCTCCATGAAACCCTGCATGTGCTCTCGGACTTTACTATACGCCCGCGAATCTAAGGTTTATCATACTGCCCTCGATCAATCGATGAGTGGCATCATACGGTTAAGGTTGGTATAAAAGTGACGGTATCGAACGCGGACTGGCCGGTGTTCTGCCATCTCATCAGACCTCTCACTTCTCTCCTCGATTCGAGCGGCTCTTCTCAGTCTAGCGCCGCTTCCAAGTCTGCCCCAATAACCGCACATCGCACCAGTTCCCAACATGTCGGGCCTTCAAACTCTCTTCGCACCGGCTCCCGAGCCCAAAACAGAGCTCGGCCGCTATCGCGTGCTCTCCTCCACCGCCGGTGTCAGGGTCTCCCCACTCTGCCTGGGCGCCATGTCCATTGGCTCTGAGTGGTCCTCGTTCTTGGGTTCCATGGAGAAGGAGGACTCATTCAAGCTTCTGGATGCGTTCGTCGACGCCGGAGGTAACTTCATCGACACCGCCAACAACTACCAGAACGAGGAGTCGGAGAAGATCCTTGGCGAATGGATGACCGCTCGCAAGAACCGCGACATCATGTTCGTCGCGACCAAGTTCACCACCCAGTATCGCAAGCAAGAGCTCGGACCCGGCAAGTGTGTCAACTACTCGGGCAATCACAAGAAGTCGCTGCACCTCTCGGTCCGCGACTCTCTCAAGAAGCTGCAGACCGACTACATTGACCTGCTCTACATCCATTGGTGGGACTGGACCACTTCTATTGAGGAACTGATGGATTCCCTCCACATCCTTGTTGAGCAGGGTAAGGTCCTGTACCTTGGTGCTTCTGATACACCCGCTTGGGTTGTTTCCGCCGCGAACACCTACGCCAGAGCTCATGGCAAGACCCCGTTCTCCGTTTACCAGGGTCGCTGGAATGTCTTGATCCGCGACCTTGAACGGGAAATCATCCCCATGTGCCGCCAGTTTGGTATGGCGATCGCACCATGGGACGTCCTTGGAGGAGGTAAGCTGCAAACCAAGAAGCAGCTCGAGGAACGCGAAAAGGCCGGCGAGGGTCTTCGTGCCATGTTTGGCCAGGGTCAGTCCGAAGAGCACCGCAAGGCCAGCGAAGTTCTCGAAGAGGTCGCAAAAGAGCAGGGTACAGACAGTATCCAGCAGATTGCTCTCGCATATGTAATGCAAAAGGCGCGATACGTTTTCCCCATCGTTGGCGGTCGCAAAGTCGAGCACCTGCACGACAACATCAAGGCTCTCAGCATTCACCTGACGGAGGACCAAATCAAGAAGATTGAGGGTTACAAGGAATTCGAAATCGGGTTCCCT